GGAAGCGTGGGTTTCCAGGTGGATAGCCCGGCACTCCATACCCCCTGGGCCCCGGTGGCCTCGTCACAGCTATGGACGGGGGAGGAAGGTTTCCTCCTCTGCTCTGTGGGGGATAGTGGCCATTTGGGGCAGGGCCTGGATGCTGGAGTGCCTGAGAGGAGCTGGTTTCTTGTGGCTGGCCTGTCGTCTTCATTTCATTGCCACCCTGTCCTTTCTTCTTGTCTGAAATGTGTTTGGAGAACAGAATTAAAAAATGAACATGCAAACCAGAAATTCCCTGCAAACCAGAAATGCCCTGAGAGGGAAACTGTGCAGCCGCCTGTCCACTCCAGAGTGCGTTAGAAAATCTGGGGCCTCCCCTGCCAACAGCCTGAAATCTGGGGTAATGCACCTTCATGATCTTTGCACTATATTTTCTCTCCAGTCCTTTCTGCAAGGAAGAAAGTGGAGGCTTTTTCCAAGTAGCTAGAGGCACTTAGATGTCATCTATAAATGGTGATGAAGTTAGCAATTTCAAAGTTAAGCAGGCAGGCTTTGAGGCTGCAGACATGCCTTGCACGTGATTCTTCCAAAGACAGTCATCTCTAATCTGGGTTTCTCTGCTGGGCTTGAGCCTATACTGGCTGTATGGTCTGCATGCCTGATGGGAAAGGTCTAGCAGTGTCCAGGGGAAAGAAACAGCCTGTGAAATCCTTCAGGACAGACTGAAACCTGCCTGACCAAGCTAAGCTTTCTGATAAGGATCAATACCGTACTGTGTTCTCACTACACCTTCTCCTGGTGAACCCGGCACAAAGGACAAAAACACTGTCCTGAGCAGTCCTGGATCAATGAAATACGATAGGAGGGTACAAGATTTGGATCCAACTGATTTGTGATGGGTAAGAGGGATCAGTGACATTCAGACCAGGCTTTAAGTGGCTTTTTTGCAGGGCTGGGATCGTGCAATTCATTATAGCACTATTACAGTTTTTTTTGCTTTGGTGCTGCCTGGTGTGGAATAACATTTACAGTATTTCTTAAATGAGATGAAGAAAGAAAAATGGACTGGAGATTAGGCTAATACTTGTGACTCAATATTGTAAATATCTTTCAGGAGATTATGGCAAAGGAAGCAGTCAAGGCAGTAAGGAAGATTATGGTCTGGTATACATGAATTTGTCATCCTGAGGAGTTCAAAACAGTCCTTACCTTCATTTGCAGTGGATTCCTCTTGTTTGCCTCCTTTTTGCTTTGGCTGTGGTGGTTCTGTCTCAAATGGATTTTCCTCTTGTTCATTTGATTTTTGTGCCTTTTGTTTGTTTCTTCTTTTATTTTCTTCTGCTTGCTAATGATGGGGAGAGAGAGGGCATATTTCAGTGATCTGCACAGCTTCTCTAATATTTAGTAAAACCAAAAATCAATAATTTTTTATTCCTTACACTTTGTAGCTTCTTTTTAAGTTCCAAATTAGCTTCCTTGTAGGATTTGGATGTTGCATTGAGATAATAAATACTCAGGCTAAATTTAAAGAAAAATAATTTTTTGTTAGGAAATAAATGAAATCTTTAAAATATAAAGACTCTTACAACATTCCTAGAGCAACAACTACATTTGTACTAATACAAAGTCTGTATCCTTTCCTCATTTATTGTGCCTAATCAGTAGTATTATTTTGACAGCAAACAGTGTGCTTCCTTACAGTATGAAGGAGGCACTCTTATTTCAGGGGAAAAAAAAGCTGAAAGAAATTATCCTGTCTATTAATTCTCTACATTCAGTCTTGTAGTAGTTAAAGAAGATGTTCCATAAAGCTATGCCTCACTATGAAATGTGTGCTAAAGAATGACTTATAAAAGTTAATTAACTTGTATGACATACCTTAAAAATTAATAAATCGTATTTATAAAAGCTTTTGAACTAATACAATAGACAAACTCAAGTAGTGCCAAAAAACCAGCCAAAAGCCTAGGTTTTAATTTTTGTTTTAAATTACAACCTCCTCCTTCTACTAAACAGAAACATAACTGCATAATGCAATTTTAATTTTTCAATGTATTGTATTATTTTTGTGAAATGCTATGAAATTAGTATTTTTCACCATCCTGCTTTAGAGAAATTCTGATATGAAGTCTTTTATTGATGTAACCAGTAAATAATTAATCTGCATATGTTGTTTTCTCTACTTTGCCTCATTTTGCCTTGTATTTTCCTTCTTTTTTTTTTTTCTTTTCTTTATTTATTTGTAATCAGAGGACAGTCTAGATTCTTTGGTTTTCTAGCCAAGGATTAAAATAGAATATGATGTTAAGTGAACCTTGGCAAAATTTCATCTCATAATTTCATTTTGCTCATGTAAAATCCTTCTGCAATTTCTACTGTATTCTGTAATCTTCTCTATATTTATTGGCAGTTCTACAATGCAGGGTTAAATCCCAGCTCATCTCTACATAGAATTAACTTTTAGTTCAGCAGTATGCTAAATAATCTGATATATGTATACAGCAGTTTAAAATGCCTTTATAAAGCAGGACTGAATACAGTTTCTAAGAAAGACTATTCTGGGGTCATTATTCTTTGCCAGGTACTGACTTACAAAAAATCTCTACTAGACCTATTTCATAAAATCTCCAACACCTTGTCTCATAGAGTACCTTGTTCATCAAGAAAAGGCCAAGGCACTGAAGATCAGACTCACTGAAAGTTATTGAGAAAAAACTGCTTCATGGTGGTCATGTTTCTATTGAACTTGCTAAGGATTTATGATCTGCTGTTCTGTCTGCTGGACAAGCTGTTCAAAGTTACAGCACTTCAGATCCTCTGTAGGCTTTTTCATTTTAATAGCTTTGCCACTATTGTGGCAACAACAACATTTTTGAAAAACAATAACAAAAAGAAGAAGAAAGCCATTGAACAAAAAAAGAGATATTAACCTTTGTGCAAAGGCGCATTAATTATGATCAAATAAAAGGCTCATGAATTCTTCAAGTCCCTCACCACAGGGCAATCAGCACTGTATTTAATTAGATATTCAGGGAATGAAGATTTGGAGTGAAAGAAACATAACAGACTTTATATTAAGCAAGCTTTGATATTGATATATTTGATACTGATAATATTCTATACGTACACCATCAGCAATATAAAAGGCAGGATGAGTCCAGGGTTAGAGGCATAACCAAATACCTTCCCAAACCAGGAAGGAAAGTCATGCTCCAGAGTTTCTGATAAGACTTCAAACATTCTAGTCTTCCCACTATTAAACAGAAAAGTTGACAATATATCACATAAAAATATCATGGCAACATCAGTGCAGTAGTATGAATATATAGGTTAGTCACATCACATCAAACCTGGGAAAAGGACAATAAACTATTTGTTAACATTTTTTAAAACTTGACATTCTGAAAGGAATATTATTTAAAGTAGTATTTATGTATTTTAAGGGGGAAAATAGACACCAATGTTTTTATTGTATGCTAAAAGATTTTGCCTGCAGTTACCACCAAGATTACTCCTGAAAGAATCAGTGTACCAAGCTGTGAACTCCATACCACCAACCAAAGATTGAAGTGCAATTTGTGTTCTATGAAGCCCTGGTGAAAAATTCAAATCCCATTTTTGTATGGTTGATAGGCAAAAAAATGGTCTGCTTGCAATTGGTTTCTGTTCAGCATGGTTCAGCCTAATTCTCTTCTCTCTTTGCTTTGTACCAATGCTATAGGATTCAGTGGGTGTGTTTTAGGAGATTTTTGTTATTATTACAGCAATCCAGTAACCTTCACGCATAATTATTCCATGGCCAGCTTATCTAGAAAGTATTTTCTCCCTAGACCATTAACATTAAGTTTTTCTTGCAGAAGCATTTTAACAGATGTTCCAAAAGTCCCTTCCTGTCCATTTTGCTTTTGGCTGTGCCTCACAATATAGAATTGGAAGTTTTTTGCCTGAACAAGACCAGAAAAAGGGGTCTTATGTGCACTGAAAGTAACTGGTAGTTTTAGTTGGTTAAAGGAATTGTCACCAAATTGCCACTTGATATTCCAGTCATTGAGGTCTCCTGTCACATCTCTTCCGTTCTTGTAAACCATTCTGACAACTGGGTCTTTTTCTTGACCCATTGTTCTTAAACATAGAATCATAGAATCATAGAATTGTTTAGGTTGGAAAAGACCTTTAAGATCATCCAGTCCAACCATTAACCTAACATTACCAAGTCCACACTAATCCAATCAAGGGTAGACTAGACTAAACCATGTCCCAAAGTGCCACGTCTACCCGTTTTTTGAACACTTCCAGGGATGGTGACTCCACCACCTCTCTGGGCAGCCTGTCCCAATGCTTGACTATTCTTTCCATAAATTTTTCCTAATATCCAATCTAAACCTCCCCTGGCGC